ATATAGTGTTGCATACGATGAAGTAGTCTGTTGATACCTACGCGATAATCTGGTGGATTTAAAGCATCTTCAAAATGTCAAGCTATTTTTTTTGAACGGGTTAATCAGATAGTATGGGAGAGCGAAATACCAAATAAAAAAATATACGAGAAAACAAGGAGTATAGATTGACTGGAGACAGTATGACGTCATCTTGGTCACCCCTTGTCTTTCACAAGCTTTATTCACAGTAAGTCTAATCGTAACAACCAAACAACTGTGTTTTCAAAGTCTTCTATATTTGAAGATGATCTAATGGATATGTTGAGGGAATTTCATAAGTGTGCAGCAGGATATGCAAATGTTCTAGCACCAAATGATTTTAAATTAAATGATGGTTTCACAAGTTGAAATTTATCTTTAGAGCGGAGGTTTCTAGAAGGAACATATGGTTGAACAAGATCGTGATTGTAAGAAGGACCAACGTTAATAACTGCTTGAAAACACAAACATAGTAATGTGCGCAGTAGTTTTAGTACGTGTTACTAGTATGGCAGTTCGATTTTGTATCTTCTGCAGTCGTTTAATCAGGGTGTCCGGTTAGCCATACAAAAGACTGTTACAATAGACAATAGCCGAACGACTGAGGATGAGACATCTAACAAGTGTGGCACACGTATCTCTGGTGATAAGATAGCCCCTATGTTTCAGATGATGCATCATGAACAATGACGGTTTGAGATCTATTGGATAGATATGAAGAGAACCATTTTAAGGCAACACCACTAATACCATATTCGTTTTCAAATCTACTAAGAAGATTATTATGGTCGATCGTGTCAAAAGCTGAGGACAAATCCAATAAAAAAGTAAAGACACATTTCCATCATCAACAGAACAACTGATTTGATTTAAACTGAATTTAAAGCTGTTTTTGTGCTCCACAATTTTAGAGATAAAGAGAGATTAGACACAGGTCTGTAATTCTTAAGAACTTCTGGATCCAGATTTGACTTCTTTAATAGGGGTCTGACCACTGCTGTTCTGCAACGTTGAGGGACAATCCCTGTTTCCAAAATGGCATTTATGATTTCAGTTTATGTTGGAAGCAGTATATCTATAATCGACGATAAGAATTTGGTTGGGAGAACATCTAGTAAACATGTAGTCGGTTTTGATGATAGAATTAATTTTTTTAAAATCTGTTTCAGAAATAGGTTGAAATGACTAAAACTGAGTAGTATATCTCTTTTTAGATATACAGAAACCAGTTCAAACCGGTTTCTGTATATCTGAAAACCAGTTCAAACCGGTTCCTTAGGGTTCACAAATTTAGTATTAAATGTCAGAAATATCTTCAGCGCAACATTTTCATCTGCATAACATCTCCACTCTATAAGGTTCCCTCAAAACACCAAACATTCACTATAATAATACAGTATAAGAAAGCTTGCGTTGCAAGGCCCACTGGCAGCTGTCAGAAATAATAAAACAGTCTTTAGTGACTAAAGTACGAAGTTTCTCATATTGAAGAAATTATTTATGCTGAATAATTCCACAAAATTTTTTAAAATCAATATCAATAACCCAAATACAACAAACAATTAATCACACAGCTCTAATCAAGGGCAAAAAACAACTTTTAACGCGTGTTTACAAAGTCAAGGGCCATTAAAAATAAGATGTCTTTAATTTTAAAACACGAACAACACAAATTCAAAGGAAATGGTTTCTTTTCAGCTCTATCATCTCTCATCGCAAAAGTAGCCAACTTTGTCTCAAACAATAAATTCCTTATTTCCTCAGGTGCGCAAAAGCAGTAGTAAATATAAGCGATGCAGTGAAAAAATCTGACGAACTTAGAGAACTGCAGCTAATAAGAGAACTAAGAAACAAGAGACTAGAACGACAAGCCCTAGAAAAACAAGGAAAAGGGTTTAAAATCATTGGATAAAAATGGCAACAAAAAATTACAGACTGGATCCAATCTTTCAATTGTATGATCCGATTCAATATTCGTTCAACAAGATGAAAGAGGATTGCGTAATCTTCTCACCATCGGTGGGACAAAGACCCAAATAAACGACGGAGGGAGAGTTACTTTTGAAATTAATTCACTCTCCAATTGGTTGCGGCTTACCGATGCCCATTTCCGATGCGATTTCAAAATCTAAGACGCCACTCAGAATCGTGTTCCACAAACCAACATGACTTTAGAAAACAATTTCTGTCCGTCTTTATTCAGCGAAATGGTTTTGAAAGCTGGTTCAAATCCAATAGAGACCATAAAACACCCCCGGCGAGTTTGACACAATGTTGAAAACGGTTCTGTATCCCAAAAACTACGATTCAGTTGTGACGTAGAAGTTTTAAAACAACCGATCAGAACTGTAGCAAATGACGCAGACCTTGCTAGGGTAGGGGTAGTTGCTAGAAACACACTGGAAAGAGTGTCTCGCGGAGTAAATCACGGATTTGAAAAACGAGCGCTTCAATACAACAATATTGTCGAGAACGACAGATGGGGTCATTACGTAAATTGGAAGTTGTATACTTTATTTGGTCTCTTGGAACACAGAAAGGTTTCCATAGGTTTGCCGGATGAAATTCATTTGCAAAGAGAAATCAACGACAACAAGATATTCTTTGGTGAAAACAACTCTGACGCAAAATTGGAAATAACGAATATCCAACTTTACATACCGGTAATCACTCCTTCCAGAGAAGTGGAAACGAGAATATTAAACTCTTTAACCAAAGACATCGAAATTGCTTTTCTTCGTCGTAACACGGTAGGTAGCATGACTTTAACGGGAGAATCCACCACGTGGCCAATCACCAACACCGTCAAACCAGCGAGATATTTAATGGTCGGTTTCAAAAACTTACTAGATTCTCAGACAAACAACAACAACATTTTCAGAGTGGCATTGAACCATAGTCAAGATCCCATCATTCGCAAAGTTCAAGTCAGATTGAACAACGATAATTATCCCATGCAACCTTTGACAATTGATCCTTCCAAAAAAGATTACAACGAATTGTACTGAAACTACAAATACATGTGCGAATTGTTTGGAAATACTCCTCAGTTTGAATACACAGATTTTTCACTCAATCATCCAACTTTTGTTTCGATCTGTCAGCTCATCAAGATAGAAAAACACAAGGAGATGTAACCGGTTATTGTTTATTATTGGAAGAAGCAAAACATTTAACTAAAATATCCGACAGACGGATGATTCGTATAGAATAATCATAAAAATTATCCTCTTAAAAATGAAACCAGAAACTTTAGTTTAGAATAATAGAAGCTATCGAAACGGAATCACCAACTACAATAACTTACAATGGTAAAAAGATTAAGATATCTAAAAAAAACTTATCAATTAAAGTCAGAGATGATATAGACTTGGAAAGAATTGACGCGAAAGCAAAAGAAGGTGGATTTTTACCTTTCTTACCTTTAATTTAGCTGCAGCAACTGCTGGTTTAGCCAAAGCTGTCAACGATAAGAAAGCTGAAGCTGCTGCAAACGCCGAAGCAAGTAGACAAAATTTGGCAATGGAAAGAAAAGCACGAGGAGGTTCGGGAGTAGGAGATATATAAGGGACGGTTGAAGAATTCGGACAAAGATTTGGCGAAGAAACCAAGAAATCCGTTAAACAGGGATTAAGCAAATTAATAGATAATATCGACACCGGAAAAATAAAAGTCAAACACTAGGACAACGCCATAGATTTTCAAAACGTACAGAATCTTTCTTTCAAAGTATAAAGGCAACGGGATGATTTTTGGTACGAAAATGTAATAAATAAAAATGGGCAAGAAATTAAAACATTCGGACATATTTCCTAGCACCCCATACTCATGTGCATTTGCGGATTGTGGAAGACAACACGGAACCTTTAAGATTTCGAGTCTCTGCATATTTACACGACTACTCCTTAACAATCCTATTATCAGTTTCTCAAAGCTTTGGAATAAGTCTCGAAAGAAGACGTTCAAGACATTTTTCACTACTACGAAAGCAACGAAGACTTGCAATAGAACGCGGAAATAAAAGACATTTTCGACGGCTTTACGAAAGAAAGACATCACAACTGTCACTGCATATACCAATCCCAATCTTTCTACGGAATGGACGTCATGTTTATCAGAAAGAACGCAAATTGTTTTTTGCTGTTTGAACTAAACGACAAAGATTTATCTCAAATCAATCAGTCGATAAATCACAGAATGGACAGAGACACGTTTAAAAAGGATTGTAAAGCTCAATGGAGAAATCCAGACGAGCATGGGTATATATTCGTCAATACCAGAAAACCTGCAGGTGAAAGAGTTATGACGAGTATCTGTAGTAGTATAAGAGTGTATAGATAGGAAGCACTTTTGTATAATTTATAAAAAATAAATCACCTTGTACCTGGACCAGTGTAATCATGACCGGGATATTTTGTCCATGGAAATCCAGGAAGAGAACCTAATGATTTTTGAATGTCGGAACCGAAATAAGTTTTAGGAGTTTGAGCAATTATCATTGACATTTTTATCCAATAATTTTAAAACCATTGCCTTTTTTGTTTTCTAATCTTTTATTTCGCATTTCTCTTATATGTTGTAATTCTTTCAACTCGTTAAGATCTTTTCACTGTTTCGCTTATATTTACTCCTGCTTTTGCTACAGATCCAAGAGCTTGCGCTTCTGAGGAAATGTGGGATTTGTTGTTTGATACAAAGTTAGCTACTTTTGGGATGAGAGATGATAGAGCTGAGAAGAATCCGTCTCCTTCGAATTTATATTGCTCGTGTTTTAAAATTAAACTCATTCTGTTTTTAAATGAGTTAATTTAAAAATATTATTGGGCTGGGGCGCTTGGGGGTTGGTAAACTTGGACCCCTATAGACTCCGGATTTATTTTGTACCGTAGTAAGTTATTAGAGTTGGCGAATTCGTTTCGATAGCTTCTACTATTTTCATAACTAAAGTTTCTGGTTTCATTTTTAAAGGGTGTTTTTTTTATTCAATTCTTATCATTCTTCTATCTGATATTTTAATCAAATGTTTTGCTTCTTCCAGCAATAAACAGTAACCGGTTACTTCTCCTTGTGTTTTATCGATGTGAATATTTATGTTTACACCAGTTTTGAAAAGATCTTCTTGATGAGCTGACAGATCGAAACAAAAGATTGGATGATTCAGTGAAAAATCTGTGTATTCAAACTGAGGAGTATTTCTAAACAATTCGGACATGTTTTTATAGTTTCTGTACAATTCGTTCTAATCTTTTTTGGAAGGATCAATTGTCAAAGGTTGATTGGGATAATTATCGTTGTTCAATCTGACTTGAACTTTGCGAATGATGGGATCTTGCGTATGGTTCAATGCCACTCTGAAAATGTTGTTGTTGTTTGTCTGAGAATCTGGTAAGTTTTTGAAACCGACCATTAACTATCTCGCTGGTTTGACGGTGTTGGTGATTGGCCACGTGGTGGATTCTCCCGTTAAAGTCATGCTATCTACCGTGTTACGACGAAGAAAAGCAATTTCCTTCTATGGAAGGAGTGATTATCGGTATGTAAAGTTGGATATTCGTTATTTCCAATTTTGCGTCAGAGTTGTTTTTACCAAAGAATATCTTGTTGTCGTTGATTTCTCTTTGCAAATGAATTTTATACGGCAAACCTATGGAAACCTTTCTGTGTTCCAAGAGACCAAATAAAGGATACAACTTCCAATTTACGTAATGACCCCATCTGTTGTTCTCGACAATATTGTTGTATTGAAGCGCACGTTTTTCAAATCCGTGATTTACTCCACAAGACACTCTTTCCAGTGTGTTTCTAGCAACTACCCCTACCCTAGCAAGGTCTGCGTCATTTGCTACAGTTCTGACCGGTTCTTTTAAACTTCTCCGTCAGCGACATCGGGAATCCATCCTGAAACTGAATCGTAGTTTTTGGAATACAGAGCCGTTTTCAACATTGTGTCAAACTCGCCGGGGTGTTTTATGGTCTCTATCGGATTTGAACCAGCTTCCAAAACCATTTCGCTGAATAAAGACGGAAAGAATTTGTTTTTGAAATCGCATCTGAAATGGGCATCGGAAAGCAGCAACCAATTGGACAACGAATTAATTTCAAAGGTAACTCTTCCTCCGTCGTTTATTTGGGTCTTTGTCCCTACCGATGGTGAGATGATTACGTAATCCTCTTTCTTCTTGTTGAACGAATATTGAATCGGATCATACAATCCAATCTGTAATTTTGCTTGCCATTTTTATCCAATGATTTTAAACCCTCTTCCTTGTTTTTCTAGGGCTTGTCGTTCTAGTCTCTTGTTTCTTAGTTCTCTTATTAGCTAGTTCTTTACGTTCGTCAGATTTTTTCACTGCATCGCTTATATTTACTCCTGCTTTTGCAACAGATCCAAGAGCTTGTGCTTCTGAGGAAATGAGGAATTTATTGTTTAAGACAAAGTTGGCTACTTTGGGGATGAGAGATGATAGAGCTGAGAAGAGACCTTTTCTTTCGAATATTTTTTGTTCGTGTTTTAAAATTAAAGACATCTTATTTTTAATGGGGTTATTTTATACTACATTATTATAGTGAATCTTGTGTGATTGGGTATTTATACGTAGTATGGAGAATGCTGAGTTTGGGATCGTCTGTTATTATATTAGCAGTTTGGGGAATAGATTTAGATTTCTTTCCCAGTAAACAATTGAGCGTTGAGAACAGCCTTTTTGGATTTAATGTGTCTTGCCTTTGCATTTTGTATTTTATTGTTGAGTTTCTTTCGAGAGACTTGATATATTTGCCGGTCTACCTCCAGCGTCGTACAGCAGCCCGTTTGGTTCTTCGACATGCTAAGACCTCGGTTGAAAGCCATGCTGATACTGGTTTGGGACGAATATACTTTTGCTTGAGAGGAGCGTGTTTATTGAAGATGTCACCAATGATGGTTTCATATTAAGTGATATATGCATCAATGTCATCTGATTTCTCTCCCAGTTTTGGTAAATCGGATTTCACAATATCATTTTTAAAATCTTCAATGTCGAGGGCTTTCATTTTGCGAATGAAGACGACTTCAGGAATATGGAGTGACTTTTGAAAAGAAAGTTTAAAATGTACGACACAATGATTAAAGCTGCTATAGTTGTTTCATCGCCTGCGGATTTCTGTCAGAAAAAAGCACATCTACAGACAAATCTAAAATGAGTTCTGGTATGTCATTGGTTTTATTATATCTTGTATGCCTCCTTAACTTATAATGTCAGCGGACCATATATCTTCTTTAGTGTAAACTTTAACTTTATAAAAGTTTTTAGTTTTTCAAAAAGTAGGAGAAGATTCTAATTCTCGAACCATTTATTGATCCACTGGATACCAATTCATTATGATCTTTTGTGTAGAATGCCATTATTGAGCGCAGCCTGGTCTATTCTGTTGATAGGTTTTTCTCCTGGGTTTTGGATTATCATTTGAGTCTAATAGAAAATCTAAACGGGTTCCTGGACCAGTGTAGTTATGTCCTGGAAGAGGTTACAATCGACAATTAAAACAAAAAAAGGTTATAACAGATTAAATGAGATTTACCAACTGTGACACATGAGTTGATAAGGTATACATGAATTATTGCAATTAGGACTTCTACGATGGCTGCTTTGCCACTATCATAATATCTGATACTGTTCTAATTAGAGAACTTAACAGATGACAGAGATTGCTCACAGTAATGAACAAGTCTTCATCCTCACCAGAGACGTCCTGTGAAGAAATGCTAGAGTAGACTGTGCTTCGTTCCATCCAGATTACTTGAAGCAAAAAGTCATCTTAATGATTGATCACATCAATCTTGTGAGCTGATCTATCTTTAAAATGGATGCGAAGACCAGTTCAAAATTTTCACCTACGTTTTCACTAATTTCATCCTCTTGTCTGGCACTGTCTAAAAGATCAATTGGAATCTCTGTAGCATAAAACTCAGAGAAGATGTTGACTTTCCAAACCGAGCTTCCAACCTATCAAAAACATCTTTAAATAATGCTGAAAAACCTAAACGAACTGCAACTTGACTTGCTTCTCCCTTTATCGAATGACTAATAGTTAAAAAAACTGTCAGCTCATCATAATGATTGTGAACTAAGTTGAGAACTTCAAATTTTCAAGCACTGAAAGGTGTGTGTTTTTTGGAATTATCTCCAGGAAAATACGGCAATTTTGAGCAAAGGCGGTGGTATAACGAAAGGGAAGCGTAACAGAATCAGCTTGATATTCTACATCCAAAACGTAACACAGAATCATAAAAATATGTCATCGTCAAGATCGTCGGCGTCGATCTGGAATCTATAACCGTAATATTTTGAATTGCGACCGAATTTGCGAATTAATGTTTACAAATTTAAATAGTTACGTTTTATATACGTATTACATCAAGGGAGGGAATTCTCTGTACTTGTTTTGACCACTGTGAATGGTTATGAAAACCTTTTAAAATCTAAATGTAGTCGTAAGTTTAGGACAGTTGTAAATCCGTTTGAGATGGACCATAATAAGTCTTCGGATTACTATGATTCGAAGCATTGCACGGAGGTACAATAAGTACCTCTCAATGTAAGAGAATACCCCATAGACCCTCTATTTCCTTTCTCTCTAACTGCCCCGTCTCTATTTCCTCTCTCTCTAACTGCCCTGTCTCTATTTCCTTTCTCTCTAACTGCCCCGTCTCTATTTCCTTTCTCTCTAACTGTCCCGTCTCTATTTCCTTTCTCCCTAACTGTCCCGTCTCTATTTCCTGCCCTGTCTCTATTTCCTTTCTCTCTAACTGCCCCGTCTCTATTTCCTTTCTCCCTAACTGTCCCGTCTCTATTTTCTCTCTCTCTAACTGTCCCGTCTCTACTTCCACTCTCTCTAACTGCCCCGTCTCTTTCCTTTCTCTCTAACTGCCCCGTCTCTATTTCCTCTCTCTCTCTAACTGCCCCGTCTCTTATTTCCTTTCTCTCTAACTGCCCCGTCTCTATTTCCTTTCTCTCTAACTGCACGGTCTCTATTTCCTTTCTCTGTCCCGTCTCTATTTTCTCTCTCTCTAACTGCCCCGTCTCTATTTCCTCTCTCTAACTGCCCCGTCTCTAATTTCTTTCTCTCTCTAACTGCCCCGTCTCTATTTCCTCTCTCTAACTGCCCCGTCTCTAATTCCTTTCTCTAACTGCCCCGTCTCTATTTCCTCTCTCTCTCTAACTGCCCCGTCTCTAATTTATTTCTCTCTAACTGTCCCGTCTCTATTTCCTTTCTCTCCAACTGCCCCGTCTCTGTCGTATTCATTAGCCCACAAGGTGCAGAAGAATAGGACGTAAAATTCATTTCATTTCTGCTGCCGCCTCTTCTTCCTTTTCTGTCAACTCTTCTTTCTATCTCTAATTACCTTGTCTATCAATGCATGTCTTGTATTTATCCCACTGAATGTTCTACAACCCTGTCTTCCTTCTTCTCTTATGTCTTGTTCAATACAAATCCCTTTTCTTGGTCGTTTCTCCCTGTTTTTTTCTTGTTTTTCGTCTTCTTTATATTACCCCTTTCCACGCACTCTGGATATTGTTCTTTGACGTTCCTAACTAGGCCAAAATTAAAATTTAGCACGAAATAGCTTGATCCTTTGAACCGTACCTTACATTTATCTTATTATTTAGACGTCAGTGGCGAGATTGGAACATTTTGAATTGTTACATAATTTGTATGAAATCCAAATCAAAATGTAAAATGATGAAGTGACTTATTGTTAATCAAAGTTTCAGTCTAAATTGAACTCTTGACTACGTATGGTTCATACATGGAAATAACCATACGTAGTGTTGCAATATGATGAAGTAGTCTGTTCGATACCTACACGATAATCTGGTGGATTTAAAGCATCTTCAAAATGTCAAGCTATTTTTTTTTTGGACGGGGTTCATCAGATAGGATGGGAGAGCGAAATACCAAATAAAAAAATATACGAGAAAACAAGTATCGATTGACTGGAGACGGTATGACGTCATTAACGTGACGCCACGTCAACCTTTCGTCTGCCATCTTGGCCACCCCTTGTCTTTCACAAGCTTTATTCACAGTAAGTCTAATCGTAACAACCAAACAACTGTGTTTTCAAAGTCTTCTATATTTGAAGATGATCTAATGGATATGTTGAGGGAATTCAATAAGTGCAGCAGGATATGCAACTGTTCTAGCACCAAATGATTTTAAATTAAATGATGATTTCAAAGCTGCTATAGTTGCTTCACCACCTGCGGATTTGAGCCAAGTTTCTGTCAGGTTTTATTATATCTTGTATGCCTCCTTAAGTTATAATGTCAGCGGACCATATATCGTCTTTAGTGTAAACTTTAACTTTTAAAAAGTTTTTAGTTTTTCAAAAGTAGGAGAAGATTCTAATTCTCGAACCATTTATTGATCCACTGGATACCAATTCATTATGATCTCTTGTGTAGAATGTCATTATTGAGATGTGAATTTATAAGTTAAATTCGTTTTTGACTAAATATCAAAATGGTTATGTTTTTTACACGACAATTTTATGTGGATACGTATTAAGTTATCTTTCGTTATGTGTTGTATTTGTTCATGCCTAATATTGTACGCAACCTTCACTACACGTGTTTCGTCTGCTCTTTTTTATACATCAGTACACGCTAGGCCTCGCCTCCGTGCCAACTTGCTTATTTTACTAATATCTCAGCTGTATTAGTATGGCTTTGGGCCTAGATAGGCCTAAACGGGCTGGTAAAGGTGTTAGTGCTCGACATTAAAACTGAAATTAAATATACAACTACTCCAATTTCTTCCCCGCAATACCCTACACTGTTTGATCACGTGACACCTCAGCAACAACAACCGCCATTGTTGAAATTGCCTCTGTCTCCCGATGTTCGACAAAAATTGCTCCCAAATTCTCAGTCATTAAAGGCGGATGCTGCACTACGAGGTCTTCAAGGCGAAGTTCAGAAGCTAGAATTGGAGCTAACACAGTTAAAACTCCAACACCAATCCGAAGAATTGAAGAGAGAGATTTTACATCTACAGAATTTACGAACTACAGACTCAGTGCCAACCGTTCAACATAATATGAGAGTAACTAATAATGATTTACCATCTACATTACCTGGTGTACCCAATTTGACATCTATGCTTCAGATGGATGATCCCAACAAAGAAGAAATTTCATCACACCACAGAGGTAATACTAATAAGGCCAAACAAATAGTTGATTTCATTTGGATTAATCCCCTTGATATGGTAAGAGATAGTTAATCAATCGACCTAGGTAAGGGTACTAAGCTACAATTAGGTAGTAGAAAGAGACCACTGGGAAAGGTCACCATGGAACAATGGGCCTTTGCAAGTCTGCAAATAATGTTTGCCTTAAAGCTATGAGACAACAGCGGTTATTTGAAGTATATGCAGAGTGTTTTTCGTCTGGCAGCATATCATATTTGGCAGAGTATTTTACTGTATGATAAGGAATACCGTGAACGCCAAACTGTTGAATTATTTTCGTGGGGAACAGTACTCAGTGAAATCAGAGACTTTCATCTCATACCCAAGCAACAAAATTCCACAACAGCTGCATTGAAAGAGTTAGATAAAGGATCATCAAATTTCAGTGCAAGTTCAACTCGTGAACTGATGGAAGAGAAATTTGTCGACGCTACAACTCTCCCAACTGCTGCATCAGAGGTCAAACTAAATGTCGTCTAGCACACAATTGCTCAACATGTTTTAGTCCTAACCATGGATCATCTCGCCTCAATGGTGTTCTCAATGGTTTTAAAATAACGGACTTGCCCGATCGTTTGCCTGGCGTGTTTTGCAAGAATCGTACATCTGCTTTAAATCATAAAAGATCAATAGAAAAACAAATTATAGAAGAAATAAACAATGGAAATCATGTGATTATTGACAATAAACCTAAAGTTGTTTCGTCTTTAGAAGCAATCAAAAAGCCAAATGGAAAGATGAGACTTATCCATGATGCAAGCTTACCAATTAACAATTCATTGAATAGTTTAGTGAATGACAAGTCGTGTTCATACATGGATCTCAATGTTGCTTGTGAATTAATTAAATCAAATTCTTTTTTGGCAAGAATTGATCTATCACGTGCTTATCGGAGTGTAAAAATTCATTCATCTGATCAATGTCTTACTGGTTAGTGTTGGAAATTTGAGGGCTCAGAAAAATCAACTTTTCTAGTTGACACAAAGCTTCCTTTTGGCTGTGCTAAAAGCCCTCAAATTTTCCGAAAACTTAGTAGTGCAGTGTGTCTTATTATGAGTAGATATGGTATAACTGTTATTGCTTACTTGGATGATTTCTTAATCATAGCAGACTCTTTTGACAAGTGTAATACAGCTATGCAACTTACAATATTAGTTTTCGGGGAAGGGAGGGTTTGATTCTCCCAAATGTACAGGCCTAGGGTGGAGCAGACACTTTATTTAGAAATTAGGATTAAGGGTCTTGATATTGAGTTTTCTTCTGTTCTTATTCTGATATGAAATTAGAAAAATAACTCGCCCTATGGGCGAGATGTTTGGTATCTGTTATGTGCTGATTGTTTTTAGTTTACTATGAACAATATTATCATTTAAGTTCTTATTTTTTGAATATGCAACTATCATTTTCTGCTTATAGACATGGGGGAATTTCTCTTGAAGGCTCTTATAGTGGGCATGAACTATCTTGCTTGCTCGATTGCTGGTTGTATTAAACGGGACAACAAAGGGTGCTATGCCTACATTATGATGAATATTTAGTCCTATAGGTCTTGCTGTATTCAATGTCTCAATCCAATGGGCTTCCCTAGATTGACGGAATTTGGTAGTTTCATCTTCGGGCAAGTCAATTTCTATACGCTCAATTGGGATTAGGGCGAGATCGTCTATTGAGTGGTCGTCGAGGTTGAAATGATTAGAAACAGGCTTGTCTTTCTTTAATTTGATGTCTGACCTATGAGCATTAAAGCGAGTTCGTAAATTATTCTTAGTTTCTCCTACATATTGTTTGGGGCATTTCTTGCATGAAATTAAATATATTACATTCGAATGTTCACATGTTAGATGTTCCTGGATCGGGTACCTTTTATTCGTAGAG